AGAGAGAGAGAGAGAGAGAGAGAGTTTCTATTTGGCATATTGTTCGCGTTGTTTTATCACGTGCTTTGCTAAGGTGATCAGCCGATGTCCCCACAGTGCGAGGTGGTTTCCAGCACCCGTGGAAGCTTGGGATCCTCTCCTCTGGTCGAGAAGCCCTGCTGCACTTCTCTCTGTCCATCTCTTCGGTATTTTCACCTACACTAGTGTTTCCTGTGCGTGCTATTTTCCAAACTTTCACACACCTGAGCGCACTTGCTCACGTGTCTGTGTCCGTGGTCTGTATCCAGTCAGATGTTATGCTCGAGACAAAGTGTGAAAAGACGTGATGCTTACAGTAAAGGGCTCACGCCCAACAGAGAGTGACAGCGTGCAGCAGACTGGAGCAAGGAACAAGAGCAGCCACAGCCCTCCACAGAGGAGGAGGAGCTGAGGCGGTGAGGGATTCACCTTGTGGGAGGTGCCGGCTCGAAGCATCTTCTCATTCCATCATTTGAGCTGAAGCTGAGTCTTTGGCAAAATAAGACCTTGTAAAATAGAGGTAAATAATTAAACCCATCGAGTCGATTCTGGAAGCACATATTTTAATGAAATGAAATGCATTTGATCTGAAATACACACTGGGACTCCAAGGGAGCACAGGCAAAAGGCAAAGAGCTTTCTAGAAACTGCAGTGTTGCCCGAAATTCTGAAAGTGTCTTGGCCAGAGAACGGTATATTCATCTTGTTAGATAGAACATTTGAATACACGTAAATAATTACTTTATCTAAAAGTACCTAGGAGAAATAAGTACACGAATTTTAATTACCATGTTTCTCATTTTTAAACTAATTGACTTTCCTGTTGTTGTAATGTTCAAAGTGCTTCTTTTTAAATGCATTTGTCCTCAGTGCTGGTAAATTTCTGTGCAGGGCTAGATGAGGCTTTTGTGGCATTTTGGATATGTTTGACTCAATTACAGTGGATTTGAGTAAAATGCCTTAGGGAAAAAATTATGGGGTCTTAGGCAGTTCTTCCCAGATGGGAGGCAACTGTTCCGGTCAGTTCTGGGACAGGGGGTCATGGGGAGCCGGGAGAGCATATTTGAATCAGCGGTTCTGGTTTTGACTGTAATGCTCGCTTTCTGCGTCTTTGTCCTCTGAGTAACACACGCTCACACCCTGAAGTTTGCATGTTTATGTCTTCTGGCCCCCTCCTGGCCGCACCACAGTCTTTCTCCTCTGTTACCAAGCGAGCTACTGTTCTTGTCACCACCGTGCAGGGCTGGCAGGCTCTGTGCAGCAGCTGCCATCCTCCGGAGCTTTTTGTGAGACCTCGGGAGGTTCTGTCCTGTGAGGTCTGGTGTTTTCTTAGCAGCACCAATGCAGAATGCCTCTATACGTGTCTGTGCCCACAAGTGCAGCGATATAGTGACATGCACATGTGTGTGTGTGTGTGTGTGTGTGTGTGTGTGTGTGTGTGTGTGAGAGTGGAGGGGTGAGGGCTTCTGAATGTTTAGAAATTAATTTCCAAACTGGGTTTCAGTTGCACAATCATGACTCCCAGCTTATCCGAAGCAGACACGTTTACACACACAGCGTCACAGCCTGAGCTATTTTCTGAAGACGTCCCTCACCCCGCGTGACAGACCCCTCCGAGCCTGGTTTACCTGTGCACAGCTGTGTGCCTGCAGGACTGCAGTCCCCTGCCCAGGAGTCACGTGCATGCGGGCTCTTTCCCGTGCCGCCTGTGGGCAGCAGAGGGACCCACGTCCCCGGCAGGGTCCCCACCCAGCCGTGCAGAGCTCTGACGCCCTCTCCCTTTGCAGCGGTTCCGTGCCCCAGCATCGAGGCGCAGCTGTCAGAACACATCCTCTGGAGGCTGGTGTCCGGGGCACTGGACGAGTATGGAGCCCAGGTCCTGCTGAGCTGCAGCCCAGGCTACTACCTGGAGGGCCGCAGGCTGCTGCAGTGCCAGGCCAACGGCACGTGGAGCGGAGCAGAGGAGCGGCCCCGGTGCAGAGGTGAGGGTCATTGGGACGGTGGGGGCTGCGGTTCGCATGTCCCAAGCGCCTGAGTGCAGCCACGCACACTTGGCTTTCCTCGTTAATGATCGTGTTTTATAAACTCTGAGCTCTTAGAATACTCAAGTCTCTCGCATCAGCTCAGAGGCGAACAGAAGCTCATGTTCCTAAAGATAACTGCTATCCATGCAGAGGTCCCCATTAGCATCTCAGAAGCACAACGCTGCCTGGAAGAGAGCTTACTGTTCTCCCAGATACAAGATAAGCAGTTAGGTCCCAGTGAGCGTCATGATAAATATGAATAAAGAGGAAAATAAGACAATGAGGTTATTGTTCAGAGCTCAGTCTGAGTTGGGCGTACTGATGTGTGATCTTTAGTTGATTGTTGGCCGGAAATTATCATGCAAGAGACAAGTCATTGGACCAGTGTGAGGTTTATAAAATACACAGCTTACTAAGGAAAAAGGAGAGTGAAGCAGTGAAAAGACAGAAGACGCTTGGTGCTCCAGCTGAGCAGATCTCCCCACCCCTTGTTCCTACCAAATTTTAGCGCTCCAGCCTTTTGGTTCTGCTTTTAAGCACAGGATCCTGAAGCAAGGTCCTCTTACTTTTCCCCTCCAGTTGTCTCCTGCGGGAGCTTGTCCTTTCCCCCGAATGGTAACAAGATTGGGACGCTGACCATTTATGGGGCCACTGCCATCTTCACCTGCAACACGGGCTACACCTTGGTAGGATCGCACGTGCGCGAGTGCTTGGCCAACGGCCTCTGGAGCGGCTCGGAGACACGCTGCCTGGGTAAGTCGAGTCACTGCTCTCTTACTTCCTGCCTGAGCCTGGTGGTGCCCCAGACCCTGGGGCTTTCCACAACTTCCTGGTATTGTCTTCTTGTGTTTATGCCTGTGATCATTTGCCTGCACCTTGACTGGGAGCCCAAGAACTAGAGAGCTGCTGTGTTCTAATCCCGGGCCCCTGTGGTGAAGTCTGCATGAGTCTTTCAGTAATAGTCACGCCACTTAGAAGTTTCAGCACAAAGGACCTGCCATGGCTCCTCGTCAGTCTGCAGTGTCTGGATGCTCTGACAGAGTCTTCTTCCCACACAAACAGTGCTACCTTTTTGTGAGGATGCTCTGCTGCCCCCTGAAGTTTACGTGGCTGCACTGTAATGACCACAACTCGGTGAATTCGATCACAACTAAGTGCATGATGACGTTCTGATGGCTAAAATAGCTAAAAGATATGGCTCAAAATAATATTCTGACCTTTCATGTAGATCTTGGAAAATAGTATTACAATATAGTCTCCAAATGCATTGTACATTTTTGCGAGACTCATGTAAAACCATTTAATAAATAACAGCTATAATGTTTATGTTATAGCAAAAAGATCTTTGATCTTTTTTTATCTTTTGATCTCTTTTGATCTTTGCTGTAATTATTGTAAGTGTAACATGTGTGCTATATTTTAGTCAGGGAAGATAAAATATTTACAAACCTGCAGCACAAACCTTCATTGTTTGCGTATGCAATACTCTCTTGTAGGAAAGAAGAGTAGCAAACTCCTCAGCTCCCTGTTTCTGGATATTTCCGAAGACTGTCCTATATGATTCTTTTAGTTTCTCAAGAACTACTGAGTAGCATGTAAAGTATAACGCTCGGGGTCCTTTGTGTGGAATCTCTCATTTAAGAGATGAATAAGATTAATACCAAGGACCTTGATTGAGAAGTTGGGCATCTGCTCTGCCTCGCATAGCACAGCCTAAGGGATGCTGGTCAGGTGGGAGGCGAGGCCGGACAGAGGGGCACTCACCTGGCACTGAGGATATCTGTGCTAGGGGAGGCAATGGCTTTGTCCTGTCACTGTCAGAATGCAACACTGCACTTAGAAACTGCTGTAACAGAAATGCTGGTCAGGGTTGATAGGTTGCAGCACTGTCTGCTGAGTTTGAAGCAAAACAAAACAGCAAAACATCTACAAAGATAAGTATTCTAAATAGGTGTTTCTAAAGACAGGTTCACCCATTGTGGGGAAAACCTAAATTAGGTACATATTTGTGTTGGGTAAGAATGAGCTGCACTCCCTTTAAGATTTGCTGAGGATTGTGTATACAGGGTAGATTAGGAGAGCTTGTGTCGTGGGTTGGGCAGTGCATCCTCCCCGTGAGCCTCCCCTGCACCATGGCAGCCTGGTCATCTCTATAGAGCCATCTGTACTGAAGGACAACCCCACAGCGCCGCCCTACACTTGGAGGGAAAAAGAAGACTTGGCTCTCAGTGTGCTGTGGTATCCACTTAATACTCAAAGAGCCCGGAGATTGAAACACAGCCAGGATCATCTGGTGCCCATAATAGTTTCCTGCAGATTCATATGTGTGGGTCTGAGCCATCTGACATTTTATGGTTGTTTATTAATACTCAAGAAAAGTCTGTAAATTGGCTTTGGTATTCACTGTCCAAATAAGCCTGATTTCATCCAAAGACACTGACCAAACAGGGTGCGCATCAGGCTCACCACTGTGCTGATTCTCTTAAGGTCGGGATATTTGTGGTGCTTTGGGTTTTACTGTCAGCAAAAGGCACCAGTAGTTACAAAGCAAATAGTAAGGTTGAATATTTGGTTTACAGATTTTCTAAAAATGGATTCAGTTCTAATCGTCATGTCAATATTTAACATCTGCAATGGTGGAAACAGGCAGGGGGGAAGGAGACCCCAGAAGAGGCCCGGGGGTTGTGTGTGGGGGTGGCCAGTGCCCATGGGAGGAGAGGGGCTGCTCACATGCTCCTGCAGAGGACACACGAGCCCCACAGGCCTCAGTCCAGCCTTGCAGCCCTAGGGCTGTGCCCAACCTTTGCAACGGTGTGGAGAAGTCATTTTAAATTCCTACATGGCAGGACTGTGGCCAGGACCTGTGTGAACGCCCAGACCATGAGTTCCCAAGTCCAGGTGGCCCAGCCCCTGCCGTGATGTGGAGTGAATGGGCTTGTGCCCTCTGCATCTCCTGTAGGCCTCGGTTTCCCAGCCTGGTGCTGTGCGGATGCTGGGGAAATGGTTGTCACCCTTCTTTGCTCAGGGTGTGATGACAAAGAAGAGAGCCTGCACATGCCCAGTGCACCCACGATGAAGGGAGCACACTCCAGCCTTCCTGGGAACAGCCGGATCTACAGAGGCTGAACATGTGGGCCACAGGCTGCCTGACCCGGCCCCGGGCTCCAGCCCGCCTTGCCAGCTGTGGAGGTGTTCCGTGGCTGCATTTGCTGTGAGTCCAAGTAAATCCACGGAGGACACTTAGAGCTGTACCACGACACCCCACCAAGGGGGAGGGCCTTGCACTGCAGCAGTTTTTGCACAAAGTCTGAAGCTGGAAAAATGAAAACGACTCTCCTTGTGCACACGCCAGCATCTTGTCTTTCAGTAAAGAGTTTTAAGGAGCCAGTGAGGTTGACACCAGCCTCAAGGGCACTGCCGGCTGGTGCAGGCACCCTCAGCTCAGTATGCTGTGTTTTGGGAGGCGCAGAGGACCTCCTGTCACAGGCGAAGTCCCTTTACTGCCATTCATTTCAGCAGGTGTTTAAGGAGTATCCACAGGGCAGGAGCACGAGCACAGGCAGGGACAGACCCTGTCCCTGCTGTGGAGAGAGAGGATGCTTTCTAGGTACCACCCTCTTGGCTAAGCCCAGGGCTGCTGAGCTCTGCTAGCCAAGAACAGGCGACACAGCACACAGTGACTCAGCCCCATTGAGCTGGAGCTGGGGACAGCCAGTCCACAGCACCCACACATTCTCAGTGGGGTTTGGGTTAAATACCATGGAGCACCATCTCTGCCAGTAGCCAACATGAAAGTGGTGTAAAATTTTGAATGTGTACAAAAAAGCAACTCACTGAGGGCTGGAAACACAAGCAAGCAGAAAAACAAAGAATCACTCTCTGTCGCAAATGAGGAGTCCCTTGTATACGTCCCCTCCGAATGGGAAGAGAGTGGCATGGCCAGCGGCCATGTGGCCTCCCCATGGGCAGTGGGAGCATGTCCTCTGCCACCTCTGCATCAGCACCGACTCCCTGGGAAGTGCAGCTCAGCTGTCTGCCTGACCCCTGGCTCAGAGTTACCCTGGGCCACCTGCAGCCACAGAGCTCTTATTCTCCAGGCACCAGAGGAACACACCTGTCTGTCTGCCCAAAGTCCGCTCTTTCCCAAGGTGGTGGAGGGGGCGTGCACCTGGCCACCTGCCAAGCTTCTGCCCGGGAACAGGGTCTCAGAGCTGGGCTCCTTGGGCCAGCCCAAGTGCAAGTGTCAGCTGCTTTGATCCTCCCGGTTTCACTGATGTGGAAAGATGCCAGTCCACGTACTGAGAAGAAAAAGAGAGCAAAACAGAAATTGGAGAGAGGGAGAAGGACAGCAGAGGAGTGGAGCAGAGGAAGGAAGCAGAAGGCCGGCCGGTCTGCCCTGGCTCACCAAGAGCTGCTTTTGCCTTGCCCCTCGGGGCCTGGAGGGCTCTTCCCCCTCTGCTTCCCTTCCTCTTCCCCTTCCCCTCCCTCTTTCCGTCCTCTTCCGCCTCCTCCTCGTGCACCATAGCTTTCCTGGCCCCCTCAGCTGTGCTCTTGGGCACCTCTCGGCCTTCACCTTGCTTCTCCCAGGCCCTCACCGGCTCAGGACTTCTCTGTCCTGAGCGCTGGACTTCCGCTGTCAGTGCAGGCCATTCTCAGCTGAGCCCAGCGCACCAGAAGCTCCAGTGATGTGTTTGAAGTCCAGTTGGTTCCAGGCCTCTGTCCCTCCCTTTCTCGTGTCACAGCGGGCGACAACCCCATCTCAGTCTCCTGCAGACCCTGCTGGGTGTAATCGCCTCCCTCCTCTGGACTGTCCTGTGGAAGTAGAACACCAGCAACACAGAAACCAGTGAGAAAATAAGTACATGATAAAAACATCATTGGAGAAACAGACAACTCTATATGACAAATGATGTTTTTTTACCCACAATAGTTGCAAAAATGGGCAAGTTAGAGACATGAGTTATGTACAGCCCAAGTTTATATGGAAGTAAGTGAGGACAGTTCCAGGAAGCTATGTGATTGCTCCTACTGCCGATGGGAAACATGACTATGTTTTGGGTCCTTAATAAGCGACCTGCTCTCTAGCATATTTACTCTTGCTTTTGTTCCCACCATTAGCCGGCCACTGCGGCTCCCCAGACCCCATCGTGAATGGCCACATCAGTGGGGATGGCTTCAGCTACAGGGACACAGTGGTCTACCAGTGCAACCCCGGCTTCCGGCTGGTGGGGACGTCCGTCAGGATCTGCCTGCAGGACCACAAGTGGTCTGGACAGACCCCTGTCTGTGTCCGTGAGTACCATTTTGGCCCGCCTGACCTTTGTTTCCGTGTGGCACAGCCAGCTGCAAAGGTGCCCAGGGCTCTGACAGACAGAGGCTGAGGCCCCTGGGCTTGCTGCCCCGAGTCCGCTAAGCAGCTCACACCAGCAGGTCTCAGGACAGGTGTCTCGTATTCACTCCCTGTTGTCACAGGGCTGCTTACAGGAGGAAGCCACTCTGTGGGGGCTCCCAGGAGAGCCCCTGTCTCCCGTTCTGCTCACTGTTTCCCCTGGGGGTGGACAGTCCTTTAAGAGAGGTGAAATTGCACACAGTGACACTTTTCAAAACTTATCGCTCAGGTGTGAATATCCACCCTAGTTTTAGAATACATGCACCCCTCCCTTTATTGCAAAATTTTCTTCAAACCGACTGTCCTTCTCACACGTGCTTTACTTTCCTGTGAATGAAACAAGAGTGAGGCTGACGTGGCCGTCCATGGTGACAGGTACTGTCCTGGAGAGTACAGAGGTAAAAGCTTTACTTAGGAGAAGAAGAGAGAGGCTGACAGGAAAAGTAAGGAGGAAAGCACGAGTTCTGTGGCCATAATGTGTTTCCTTTTCAAGGGCCAGTGACAGACCCCCAGGTGCCGTGTGGTGCGACATCAGGACAGTGCAGCAGGCTGCAGAGATAACAGGGCTCTCCAGGGCAGCCTCACTCCATGGGCAGCGGTCTTGCGAATTGCATGAGGCCGACATTGAGAGGAATAGTTTTTGCACAGACAATTCAAAGTTTTGAGCAAATCCCGTAATGTCTCAAAACGAAGGTTCACAAAATAAACTGGTATAGATAGGGCCAGGGAGCTCAGTGTCATAGCGCCTGCCTCACAACCACAAGGTCCTGAGTTCAAGCCCTGGTACTAAATAAATAAATAAATAAATAAATAAATAAATAAATAATCAGCTGGTGTGCACCGGAGGAAAGTTCCCCAACCCCGGTTCACAGGAAGGGCTGGAAGGGCTCTTGGTGCTGGCTGCTCTGCTCTGTCCCGATCCACTGGCGGAGCCCTCCCCGTGATGCTGGGAGGGTCTGGTGGGATTGCTCTTCCCGCAGTCCTCGTGGGAGGCGGCCCAGTCTGCACTCCACCCCCGCCCCTTCCCCTTCCGCCATCAGCACCCTCTGCGTGAGGAGTGTGCTGACCGCACGCTGTGAGTTCTTCCGCAAGTGGGAGGCGGCAGTGATTGCCCACACAGACAGTGACCGGGCCCTCTCCTTCACAGCCATCACCTGTGGCCACCCCGGGAACCCCGCCCATGGGGTCACCAACGGCAGCGAGTTCAACCTGAACGACCTTGTGAACTTCACTTGCAACACAGGCTACCTGCTGCAGGGGGCCGCGCGCGCCCAGTGCCGGAGCAGCGGGCAGTGGAGCAGCCCCCTGCCCACCTGCCGAGGTAGGAGGCCCGGAAGGGAGGCCCTGTGGGTGCGGCTGAGGGGCCACAGGCACCTGTCTTCAGCCAGTGAGGGATCCCACGGCTGTCGCAGTTGAGGCCCCTTCTGGGAGCGCACACATCGCGGGCTCCTGTCTCAGGGGGGACCCAACCCAAGGGCTTCGGATTCTCTCCTCCCTGCCGCCCCTTTCTGTCCTTCTGCTCACTCGCCCACACCGTGCGGAACAGCTCTGTTTGCTCCTTGCCCATCTGGTGTCTTGTGGGTGTGTTTAGGAAGACCTCGTTGCTTTTTCATCTCAGTTGTTTCTTTGTGAACTGTTTATTTGAAATTGTCATGTTGATGTGGGCTTAACCTGGACTTTCCAGGGAAGTGTTTGTAGGTTTGTATCTGGCTGTGCCCACTCAGAATATTTGATTTGGAGTCAATTCCTTGTCTCTCACGAAGGTGTGGACAGGTCTCCTGTGTGGGGTCAGTGTGATAGCACAGCCTTGGGGATCGCTTGCCCATTACCTCCAGGGCTCCCCAGGGGCTATCAACAACGGGGATACAGAACAGCGGGAATCCATGGTCTTGAAGGAGGGGCTTGGGGTAAAAGCCGACACCCAAATGCGGAATCCTGCCCAGTCTGATGGGAGTGTTTGGCTTATGCTCAAAGACCATGAGAACCCTGTAACCCCATCGCCCGCTAAGACACTGATGTCAGGACCATACCAGGTGGCAGTGGGGCGCCAAGGACGCCCCACTTCCCCAGGCCTACAAAGCCTGATGCTGAAGGTGGTAAGGACTGGGGCTGGATCCTCCTCCAGGTCCTGAGTGGCAGTCTCCAGATTGGATTCCCTTCTTCCAGGTGAGTCTCCGCCCTCAGGAGCCTAATGGCCGTGGTCAGGATGAGGTACATAGTGCTGGAGAGGAACTTGGCATTGAGTGACAACTTCTGTTTGGCCCAAAGTGGCTCCCTTCAACAAAACAAAAAGTAAAATGAAATGATTGCCTTCGTTGTGTGAATCACCTCCTTTTCCCGTTCCCTCTTCATTTTGTTTTGTTTTACATTTGTTCTGATATGGAATAGAAGGAAATGTCTGGTGTGCAGGCTGAGGCTGAAATGGTCCCGGTGGCCATTGGTCACCAGGCTATAAAAGCGACCCACAAGCCACTCTCTTCTCAGTCAGACAGTTCCACAGATCCTACAGCTGACTCCCCCCTGTTGGCTTCAGTGACACACAGGAGGCAGGGACAAGACCGGCAGATAGGCTTCGACCTGCTCACACCCAGGCTGGCCTCACACCTCCCCAGCGCCAGGCTGTCCTACCCGGCCCATCCTGGGGTCCTCTCTCCTCTGGAGCCCACTTCTCCTCTCTAATGTACACCCACGAGCCCAACAATGCTCTCCACTCTTCATTAAACACAGTGTTTTCCTGGTAAAAATCCACCACCAGAGAACTGTTGGGAAACTGCCTTGTGATCCCTTATTCTTAGGAACTGTGAACTAAGACATTTAAAACTTACATTTTAATGTGGTGAGTAGTTAAGCTACCCGTCAACATGGAGGACTTAAAATATATGACAGGCTAAAAAGTCATCAATTCTTTTCCATTAAGATTTCCCTCTTTGATAAATGACTGAGTAACTTTGCCACAGAACTTCGTACCTTGAGCTAACTGTAGACTTGCATGCAGTCATGATGAGTAATACTGAGGTGTGTTTCATGCCCTTCTACCAGTGCTACCTGATGTGACATCCCAATGCAGGACACACTAACAACCCCATGTTGGCATAGAGGGGCCAAGGGGACTCACAGGGATCCACAAATCACCCCCAAGATCCTGGCCCCTTGCCTGGTTTCTGCACCCGTGTCCTGGTCTTCATCCCATGACCTCCATATGTGAGATTGCTGCAGACTGGGTGGGGTTGTTACTGAGCAGGCTTTGGGCCTTGGCTTTTCTACTATCCATCCCGTGGGAGAGCCGGCAAAGTGGTTGCTGTGTCAGTTGCCCTTGTTCATGGCAGGAGGGGCCGATTTACCATCAAGCCCTGAGCATAATATCTCAGGGATGGTCAAAGACAGGTTTCTAAGGGACCCTGGATTTTCATTTCTCAGGAAAATTCCCTAAGAGTATAACTTTGGGGTCATAGGGGATTTGTAAGTTTAGTTATGCAAGAAATTGCCAGACTGCTTTTCAGAGCAGCTATCTGACATTCCTCCTGACCACACAAAGTGTTGTCCTCCCAGCAACCCATGCACCCTGAGCTGCCCTGGCCACAAGACAGACATCTCTGATAGCTCTTTAGCACTTGCTTGCCATCTCCTGATGGAGAAGGATGCTCTGCTCTTTGTCCTGAGCCTCTCTGCCATCTGTGTGCCCTCCCCAGAGAAGCAGCTCTTCGTGTTTGCAGCCCACGCTCTCCTTGATTGCTTGGACTTTGTGTTTATTACGGTTCCATTTTAAGGATTCTTTATGTATTTTCTGTTCTAGTGATGTGTCAGGTATGTGATTATTATGGTATAGATCTCAAATGTCCCACAGAAATCTTTTGTTGAGAGATGGGGCTTTTGAAAGGCAACTGGATCATGGGGGCACTGTACTTAGCTGAATGTGCTGTTAGGAGGCGTGGCCTGGTCACAACAGGTGGGTCACAGGTGTGAGTGACCTAGAAAGGTGTCTTCTTGTACCCCCACTCCTCCTCTTTCTTTTTCTTTTTGTTCTCTCCCTGACCTTTTCAGGCTGCTAAGATTTAGAGCTGTCCTCTACCATGTCCTTTTACCATGCTGTTTTTGCTTTGGAGCAGCCACACATAGACTGAACCCAACCACTCTGTATGTAAACCTAGACTGCCATTGAGTAAAATTTATACATCTTCCATCTATGAATTATTCTTTATTTTTAAAAATTTTTGCCAGAAAACATATTTTTACTGTAAAATGTCAGTGGTATAAAGTTAATGGATGTGTGATGGAACATGATTAATCACTGCTTCCTCGGATAAGTTTCCTCCCTGCACACCTACATTGAGTTTTCAGTGTGGAATCAGCACTCTTGGCCTCACTCCCAAAAGTAATGACTGCAGAAATAAACTATGTGCATGGGAAATAACTGAAGTGTTGCCAGAAACTATTACTCTGGAAATAATTCTTATCCACCATTCACTTTCATAAATGTAGTATTGCCAGGCATGGTAGTGCACACCTGTAATCCCAGCCCTCAGAAGGCTGATGCAGGAGGATTGCTGTGAGTTCAAGACCAGCCTGGGCTACATAGTAAGTTCCAGGTCAGTCTCAACTACATAGTGAGACCCTGTCTCCAAAACCCTCCCCCCAAAAAACCATAAACGTATTATTGATTGTGAAAAGGGTGGCGTATTCCCTTAATCTTGCAGTGATTTGATTTTATACCCAGCACAATGGTCCATGGTGAGCATGTGGATAGTATCCTACACCTGGGTTCATCCTTTTGTGGAGTTTCTTATGTTTTTTGCACATATTGTTTTCTTGCTTTAAAAAGCATGGGTGATAGCATCTTAGTAAGTTTCTCCTGCCTTCTTCCCTACGGCGGTGCAGCTCTGGGCCAGAACCGCTGAATTCTTCATCACTACATTCAGTTCACACCCTAAAGGGCCAAGCACAACTGCCTATTAAACATTAAAAACACAAGCAAAGTCTCCCCTGTATATTTGAGATAGAGCATTAGATCTCTAGTTCAGAGGGAAGGTTGAATTTTTCACTTGACTTAATGAAAATTCAGCTTCACACTTGCTACTAGAGAAGAAAGATTGGCCTGATTTTTAAAAAATTGGAAGCAATTTTCCTGAAAATGTATATGCAGTGGGCATTGGGGGACCTGAGAGACAGGTTGATTACTGTCTCCTCTGGCAATGCCCTGTCTTGTCTTATAGCTAGAAATACATACCTGATGCTGTGTGTCGGAAAGAATCATCCTCCATATGGTGCCAGATGCTTGTCATTACTGATTGAAGGAGAGAAATGCAGCTTCACACTGGCCAAGAAAGATGAATTTTAAAAAACAGAAAAAACAGCACATTTGTTACTTCAAACCTTGAAAAACTATCCCTAACTTAAAAGAGATCGCTTTCTGGAGGTGGCCTCTCCCAGGTGTTCTCAGAGTTAAAGGCATATGGAAGTCCATACATATATCCACACAGGCAGCACATTAGGGCCTGAAGCCTTGCTCAAGGACACGGGAGGGCTAGGTGGCAGTCCCAATACAGCAACTTCCAACAAGCCTTATTTTCCTGTGTTTGTCTTTATCTGAGACAATATTTGGATAACATGCAGTTGGACACTGTCCACTTTGAAGCATACATCTCAAAGGCACGTAGTGCATGACTGTGCCATGAGACCCTGTCTGTCTGCTAAAAGCCACTTCGATCACCTCCCAGGGAGACCACCCAGGACCCCAGTCCATCCATCCCCTGCCCCTACCCCTGCCTGGCATCTGGTTCCCTTTCTGTCTTCAGCTCCCTCTGAGAGTCTGGTGTCCACGAGGTCACCCATGGCACACTATGGTGTCTGGGATCTTGCTCAGCACAGTTCCTCCATGCATTTGTAATCATCAGCACCTTGTTTGCTTTTATGGCTTTAGCTAAATTCCAGCTGTCTTCTGTCTCCACAGTCATCAAGGAAATGCTTGAGCTAAATGTCCTAGACCCAGATTTGTGTGTTTGTGCCTGTGTATGTGTGCACCTTGCACATATATGCTGTGTATGCCTGTGCTTCTTTCAATAAGCAATTTGAAACCACATGAAACTAATTAAGAAAAGTATTGAAAGAATGGCTACTCCATTAATTAGCTTTCCTATCCTTGGGACAAAACGTATGACACTTGGAACTTAATAAAAGAAAGGTTTACTTTGGCTTCTGGTTTTCAGAGGATTCCGTCCATGGTCAGCAGCTCCCAGGCAGAAACCATATAGTAGAAGGGACTGGCAGAGAAAAGCTACTTACATCACAGGGCCAGGAAACAGAGGGGAGGACCTGGGGGCAAGAGCATGCCCTTCCAGGTCACACCACAATGACCACCTCCAATCCAGTCACCTTCTCAACCCCTCCCTGTACACATAAGACTTTCAGAAGACGTTGGAGGTCTGAACTACAGCACCTGCACACATCTGACACTTAAGTATGCACATACCAGCCAGTCTTCTATGCAAAATCAACATTAGCCATATCTACCCAGATGCATGAACTTACTGACACATGTTTATAAAATAAACAGGGCTATTGCTGAGATGTGTGTGTTTTATGAGCTCACTAAAAAACTAAATGTAAAGACATTTTAGAGTTTTTATACTAACAGGAATATAGGGAATCACATTAGAATTGTGTCTATTTAAGTGGAATTCCCTGTGGCATTTGTATTCACAGCTGCTTTTTAATAGGCAGGACCTAGTGGAAAGACAAAGTGCTTTTTTCCTATTTTAATGACAGTTGAAACTCCTTGGGGAATGCCCCAGAGGTTCAGATGCTGCTAATTTATACAAATGAATGGCCACTCTTTCCGAGAACACCCTCCTCTTTCACTGTATTTTACTACCTTAATATCTTTCTGTCATGCGGGTTTTCTAAAAAGTATATTTATTTATTAATTTATCAACAAGTTGTACCACCAATGAACAGGTAGGAACAAGGAGAGGACAGTTTTGAACTACACTTGTTGTGAAATGTCTCACATTCTGTGAGGTTTTGGAAAAGTTTGAGGGTAAAACCATATCTGTGTTTGGGGAATCATTTTATTTGTTTATGAAAAACCTTTGTTCCTTTCATTATTTCCAGTTAATCCACTTCCACATTTCAAAAAAAAAACTCAGCAACCTACATAGTTTGTCCAGATATGCCTTCAGTGTTGTAGTTCTCGTGCTGGATGAGCTGAGGCCTCAGGTGGACAGATGGACAGACAGGCTGCTGCCCAGATGTCCGGGCAGGAGGGGCCCACGCATCCCCATCTCCCAGGGACGTGGTCGCTGACCAGCAGGACAGCACTCATGCAGTCTCTGGAGAGCAGCTCAGTCCCGCGTGTGACCACAGTTCTGCCGATTAGACAACAGTGAGTGAGGCTGCAAGAATGGGGATCCCTGAGGTGGAAAAGCCTTGCCCCTCATCTGGGCGTAGCTTGCCGATTAGACAACAGTGAGTGAGGCTGCAAGAATGGGGATCCCTGAGGTGGAAAAGCCTTGCCCCTCATCTCAGGGCGTAGCTTCTGATAGCATCCTGTGTGGAGGGGTGAAGCTGGGACACCCCCGGGGGTCAAGGTCCCGGATCACAGGCTCAAGCTGTGCTGTCCAGACCACAGGGGCGGGGTCCTCAGCTTGAGAGGGAACCAGTCAGTCTTGTGGTCCATAGAGCAATGTTGCTGTCTTCGTAGTGGGGCAGAGAGAGCCTGAACTGCCATCAAGAGCTGCAAAAATGGGGGACATGTCTGTGTGCCCAGGACGGTCTCCCAGGACACCGTTGCACTTCCAGATGGCATCTCGCTCTCTGCCTCTGGCACCAGGACACTTCAGTGCCCCAGGGAGGCACTGAGTACCTGACCTGACACAGCCAGTCTCCCCACTCGTCACCCCGGGAGAAGCACAACTCGGCCTGGAGGGGACGACGTGGCTGCTGGTGCTGTCTCTTGTCACACAGCTCAAGGTCTCAGGGGGGAGAAACAGCCTGTGTCCGCACAGCCATGGAGAGCCAAGCTCACCTGGAGGCGTGACCAGAAATGCTGGCCATGGTGGTGGCCCGACCTCACTGGGGACAGCATCCTGTGCCCGGGTGTGTTCTGTGTCAGAAGGGTGTCCCTTCACCACCAGCCTTCCAGACAGTGCAGCTTGGTGTCCAGCCTGCCAGCACCATTGCTGGACAGCGTCCACAGGGCTAGGTGAGAGAGTGTCAAGGTGGATAACAGCCCAGGGGCCAGGAAGGAGAATGTCACCATGCTGCTGGACACTTGTCTATGTGGCACATCTATTTTTGCTGAACAGAAGATGGAGTGGATTCAAAACAGCCGGATTTTCTCTTAAATCAATAGCTTCTTGGGTATCTGTCATTTTTTTTCTGACTTAACCGTGAGAAAGAGAAGATCAGGAATATGCATCTGTCACCACACTCAGTGTCCTGTGCTGTGTCGGACGTTTGGTATCCAGTGCATGGTGTGAAAACACAGCCAGGTGTTGGGACCTCATCACTGCTGATCGGCCTTCCTGAACATCCTCGCTTTCCCTGGAAAAATGCAAAGCCCTTGTGTGAGACCTGCTGTGTTGGGGTGTGAAGGCCCAGAGTCATTGGGGCACCAGGGCTTAGGAGTCCTGGGCCGCCTCCCAGCTGCCCGTCAACCCAGCTTTCAGGAGGCACAATCTAGGGCGTAGAAGGACATCCACTTTATTGAAGACAGAAGGAGCGAGACTAAAAGGGGGGCAGCTCAGAAAGGTGGTGAAGCTTTACGGACAAACTGACCTAAAACCCGAGGACACTGAGTTAAAAGAAATAGCAGCTCTACCCAGAAAGCCTGCTGGGATTTTGGTGTAGACAGCGATGCATCCCGGCTCCTCGTTTCGTTGGCGTTCCAGGGTATCACGTGTCACAGCCGTGTGCGGTCCCCAGCATGCTCTTCTCTCAAGCTTTCATTCCCACTCTCCAGTGTGTCGCGAGTGTGAGCTCTGGGGTCCCACGGCCCCTCAGAGTTCTGGAAAGGAACCCGGAGTAAACGTGTGCCACGTGCAGCTGAAGTGGGTGCGGCTCCCCGCCCCCCGCCGCGTCTTTCCCACGGTTCTCTTGGCTCTCAGACTCAGCCCCTAACAGCCAGTGCTCACGAGCCTGCCGTGGGAGTGTTACGGCAGGAAGCTCAGGCCCAGGCCCTGGCAATGTGTCCTTCCCCAGCCTAGTGACGCTGTCTTTGCTAACAGGATTTGGGAAATGAAGTACACTGTTCTAGCAGCAGTACTGTTCTCCGCGAAATCCTTTACAGTCCCAGCTTTCACAGGAAGGGCTGAAAACCAGCGTCTTCACACTGACCAATCTGACTGGAGGAGCATGATTTTACACCAGAGCTCCTCTGGGGCTTTGCCTCCAAATTCCAAAACAAATGTAACTGTGTTCATGAATTCAGCCAGTTCAACTAGTAGCACATGAGGCACACTGCGCCTGGCCACGTTTTGTGACGAGTCACGTAGTTTTTAATTTCTCTGTCTCATCATCTTCGTACTGTACACAAACCTTAGATGCTCTTCTCTTCCTCCTGGTTTCGTTCACCTGCGTGTTCACATGCAGAGGTCACAAACATGGACTCCTGCATGAGCGGAGACCAGGATCTGAAGAACATGTGAGGTACGGTTGGAGAGGAGTTAGAAGGCAAGCGACATCAAAAACTTGTATTTTCAAAATATTGGAATGATACAATTTTTATAGTCAGTGGAATTATAAACTAATGTAGGAAGTACTACCACTCTGTGGCTTTGCACGGAGAGGCAGAGGCTGAGGAGGAGCTGGCAGCTTCGGGCGGGAACTGGGCATGGGCTGTGGGCTGGGGTTTCCTGCGGTGTCCTCCAGCCCCAGGGGCAAGGCTCACCTCCCTTCAGGGTGCAGGAGGGGAAAAGGCAAGAAACCTTTCTCACCACTGTGCTTAGGAAACGCCATCCCCATGGTAAAGTTTCTTCTCCAATTTTGTTTTCATTAAAAAGCCTCGTTTGCTTTGATCATAATGCATGATGCATTCACTGTAGCCAAGTTTTCAGACTATGTCCAGAGAGTTTATCATTGTTCTTACAAAACAGTAGCAAGTATGACTGGCTTCCGAGGCTGTTGTGCAGTGTCTTTCCATTTCTAATCTCATACCATTACCTGTGCCCCTGTGTGACCTTGCGTGCATCCCCATGTGTACACATGCACACTTTCCTATGCTCCAGCCACCACTTTGCCGAGGTTGTGTGGACTCAGCAAACTCGGACCACTTTTTAAAAACTGCATCTCCTATGCGCGCACAGAAGCTCTCTTGTCCTCTTCCCTAAGCACTGCAGTGTGACAGCTCGACGTGGTGTTTGCCCTGTGTGGGTCCTAAGTGATGCAGAGACCATGGGAAGTACATGGTCCTGTGGGTCCCAGGCCGACAGCAGTGGGCACACAGACCCAGCCCACATGGCCCCCTGCGTCCTGGCCGGGAGCTGGGCCTCGCTCACCCTTTCCGGGCCAAGCCCATGTCCCAGGCTGGGCACCTCCTCTGTCCGAGGTCCTGCAGGGTGTGTGGGTGCTTCAGCTTGGTCAGCCTGTCTCCAGTGGGCCACCGCTGCAGTGGCAGAGCTCGTTCTGGCCCCATTCGTGCTCCACAGCGGATTCTTCCTCTCTGTCCCGAAGGAACACAGCCCCGCTGCAGCTCAGGCTTGGGTAAGATTCGGGAGCATGTGTCCAGGAACGCCCAGGCCTCACCACCCTCCTACGGGGCAGATTCCGGGCTCGCATTGGCCTTCACTCTGGGCTCTGGTACAGCCCTGCGGCAGCAGCCGCCTGAGGAGCCATGGCGACTCCTTTCCTGGAGTGAGGGTCTGCAGTGCAGCCTGGCTTCTGCTCCACTGTTGGCCTGAGGTTGAGCATAGGTCACTCGTTCTGCTGTGCGCACAGTGCAGAGGTACAGGGCCGGCTCCCAGGAGCAGCACCCGGAGCGTCCGCCCTCAGGTTCTGCTTCCTGCACACTGCAGCTGCCATCCAGCTCAGGAGCTTTCTACAGGGCCTTCTGCGATTCATTTCTGTTTGGTTGTCAGATGATTGGTGGGTTCCATAACTTACAGCTGCCTCTGAGTGACCTAGGAAACATTTTGTGTTCCAGTGGTGAACTGTTCAGACCCAGGCTTCGTGGACAGTGCCATTCGACACGGGCAGCAGAATTTCCCAGAGAGCTTCGAGTTTGGCACCAGTGTCCTGTATCACTGCAAGAAGGGCTTCTACCTGCTGGGGTCTTCGGCCTTGACCTGCACAGCCAGCGGCCTGTGGGACCGCTCTCTGCCCAAGTGTCTAGGTGAGTGAGGGCAGACCGGAACCGACAGGGCAGGTGTCTGCACTCGGGGAGGTCTTGTGGCTCCTGTCCTGTCAGCTCCTGTGAGAGCTTGGGTACATTGCCAAACCCACAAATACACCTCAGGTTGGCTTACAGCGGAGGGAGGGGAGACCCTGCAAGTTCACACCTGCACAGGGGACACAGGCAGGAGCTCTGCCTGTGTAAACCCACGGTGCCTTTCCTCAGCTGCAGCCTAAGATGCAGGCTGGCTCCAATGCCCTCAGCATCAGCACCATCCTGCCTCAGCCTCCAGGCTGTGCCATGGGGTCTGGAGGTGCTGAGCCAGCACCTGTGGCCATGGCTGGGGTCCTCAGAAGGGTGACGGCGGTTCTCACAGACATTTCCAACCCAGTCCCCATTCCGGTGAGGAGGCAGCACTGCCAGAAGCTTCCTCATAAACCAGGGAAGGGGGCTGGGGACTTAGCTCAGTGGTGCTGCTGCCTGCCTCTCAAGCGCAAGGACCTGAGTTTGATCCCTGGTACCAAGGAGATACAAATAAATAAAAAAATGAACCAGGGAGGGACCAGTGTGCACAAACCTCCTCTTCTGGGCAGCCTGGCACAGTTTCCACAATGTTCCTGGTGTGTTTTAGAAGACACAGACTAACAAGCATGCATCTTACCACAGTAACCGTCGTCTGATTTTCCTTCAGTTTGAAAATTCAGATGTTCTTTAGCTCAAGCAGCACGATCATTTAAAAGCCTAGCCTGAAAATTTAGGAAATAAGTGGAATCTCCCTCTGGCCTTTTAAAATTTAGACAATCCCTTGAGTCTACAGAGAAGTTGTCTCAAATTCAGACCTTACCATATGATTCATTTCGTGGAGGAAGTGAGTGACTTTCGAGAAGGAAACACCAAGCATGTATGAGAAGTGCAGGTGTCGGAGTAGCGCGGCCGGCGTCAGACCCTGTCCAGATTCTGCTTTTCCCTGCCTGGCTTGGGGAGACTTTGCTGGGAATTAGCTTCCTTCTTCCTGCCGAGGCTCTGCGGCTCCTGTGAGATGTCCCTTGGACCTCGGGCTGAGGTTGGCGCTGAGGCTCCCACAGCCAGGAGCCGGGCTTCCTGACGCTGCCCACCGTTGCTGTCCATGGCTGGTGCTGACCACCGAACCTAGGAGCCGCAGCCTGTACAGTGGCTGCCACACAGGCCAGGGGGTCTCAGGCCATCTCCCCTCTGTCAGGTGGTTTCACTGAGTTTCCCTTTTCCTTCTGCTTCTCCTAGATTTGGTCACTTCCCAGCATTCCAGAGTTTCCTTTACCTTTATGGACTTTCCTTATCTATAGGGAGGACGGTAGGGCTCTGCCGGCTTCTTTAGGCCCCGTTTCTCAAGACGAGGCTTGTGGGTGTCCGTGTGGGAGACTCATGTGCGATCCACTTTGCTGGCACGCTGTGTTCATCTTCTGGGACACCTTCTCTCCCGCAGCCATCTCCTGCGGGCACCCTGGGGTCCCCGCCAACGCCATGTTGACTGGGGAGCTATTCACCTTCGGCGCCACAGTTCAGTACTCATGCAAGGGGGGCCGGAGTCTCACCGGCAACAGCACCAGAGTCTGCCAGGAAGACAGCCACTGGAGCGGCTCGCTGCCCCACTGCTCAGGTGAGGGTGGCGCGTATGCACTTGCACAACTGCTGCCATCCTAAGGCCCTCGCAGCCCAAGGTGTGGTTAGAGATCGCCTCTCCGCCGGCCTCCCCAGCCCTGGTCCGCACATCAAGTTGCAGCATCCTCACTGTCAGCACCGGCGTAGGCATCACCCTCCCCAAACCCTCCCCAAACCTCCCGCACTTCTCCATTTCCATCTCCGGGGGTTTCTGCTTACCCTGGCTAGGACACTTGCTTCCCCGTCTGCCTGTCCCTGTTTGCTCTTTGACTCGTGGTGGGGGGTGGGTGTGCGATTCCTCTTAATTCTCAGTTCCACCACTTCTGGCATCTGAAGTTTCATTCATGCATTTTGAAAAGCTCATCATCGTGATCCTTCTATGAATGCTTCTGTAATAAATCTTGGTGCATTGGAAACTCGTGCAAACTTGTGAACGATCGGCCTCACGTGGCCCTTCGAGTGCCCGCACCCTTGCCCCCCCACCGTGTTTTGCCATCTGCGCTCTCGGTCATGGTCTTGGATCCGGACCTGCTGGAGCCGGGCCTGCACAGCGCCACATTGCCCCTGTCCTCTGTTCCACAGGAAGTAGCCCCGGGTTCTGTGGCGACCCGGGGACCCCCGCACACGGCTCTCGGCTTGGGGATGAATTTAAGACCAAGAGTCTCCTGCGCTTCTCCTGCGAGATGGGCTACCAGCTGCGGGGCTCTGCCGAACGCACGTGCCTGCCCGATGGGTCCTGGTCCGGGACACAGCCCGTGTGTGAGGGTGAGTGCTGCCTGCGTGTGCCCTGACCCCGGCCAGGTGTAGTCCGAGGCGTGCTGATTTGTGAGGCTTTGTAAGGTTTGTGCGAGCAGCATCAGGAACTGCGCCTCCGGTCCCTCAGCGCACCTACCCTGACTGTCTAAGGTCCCGTGACACTGGCCCTTGCACGCTGCAGGTGACAGCACATCCACGGTCCCTTGTGCTCTGTGGGCGGCGATCTCCGAGCAGTTGTGCCAGGTTTGTGGGCACAGGAAGGAGCTGAGGCAGTGAGCAGGAGCCACACAGTCAGCCAGGGCCATCTGTGGGCTGAGGGCTCCCATTCACACACACGTCCGGTCTCTCTCTTGCACCGACTGGAGCTGCATTGCATGTAGTGCTCTTGGTGGGTGACTGAAAGGTGGAGCAGGAGTTGGTGGGTGCGTGGGCACAGCTGGAAAACCCTGTGGGTACGTGGTGGTGCTGAGCGAGGCAGCGTCTGTCCGAGGCATAGGGGAATGGGGTGTGGCTCGGGGGCATGTTCAGCGTTCAGAAGAAACATTTAGAGTGCAGACAGGAGAGACTGGCAACTCCAGGAACTCCTTGCAGACAAATTTCTCAATTAACTTTTAGTCTACAAAGATGATACAACTTAACTAAATGTGTAATCTGTGTGTGGGACACTTTCTACATAGCAAACATAGACACTGCCCTAGGGGACGAAGCTCACGGGGCGTCACACCAGTGACCTGACTGCTGGCCATGCCTGGGGGTCAACCCCTCCCAGGCCATGCTGTCCTCATGATCCCCTTCTTGGGTCCACTAAAGACATCACATTTTGATGGGAAGCTTGGACAAACTGTAAAACTGGGAGAGTTCGGGGATTATGAAAGAAAAATGCTAAAAATCTTCTTAAAGATCAGGTAATTTATATTCCTGTTTCATATTTAATATTTATGTATCTCCACACATTTCTATTAGATCCTGTCTGATTTTGTTAGCAATCTAATCTCTAATCATAAGCTAATTAACTTAGTATTTCAAAGGCCATATCTCATGAAGTTGCTTACATAAACTGCATTTCGTTTTACTTAAACTAGATAACTTTTAGTCTTTTTCCTGTGAAATTTGGATAAAGCCTATGTTTGACTCAAGTAATGGAAATGTGAAAATGAAAAACACAGCAGTGTGAACCACAAGCTAACTCAGTAGCACAGGGCGTGTGTTGGACTTGGTAGACGCCAGGTTACGAGCAGTGTATCTTACAGCCATGGGGTCTCTGCCATCTCCAGCTTCAGTCAAAGGCTTTATCGATCACAAAGAGCTGAACTCGAGGTGACTGGGTAAGGGACTTGGAAGAGCAGAGAGTCTCACATACTCAGCAGTTTGGCTGACATCTTCCCAGTGCACGCGCTGTTGAACTGCACAAGGTGAAGAGTGACAAACATATCTGATAAGCATAGTGACTTTTTATAAATCAAGTAAAATAAAATTACATTTTACCAAAAGGACTCACATTAACCAAGAGTAACTGAAGAGAAAATAAGACCAGAGAGTATTTAAAAATAATAAGACCAGAGAGCAAAGAATATGGTGAAATTTTAAATTCCAGTTTTAAAATTGTATTTTCTCTTCTAGCAACTCTAAATGTCACCTCTCATTTTAGTCCTATTTCTCTTGTTTTATACCATTATAACATTCTAACATTGGTATAAAAATAGACACATTGATACTGCCTCTGATTTCCATTCTTATTAACCACCAATGGGAACCAGACAAAGGAAGAATTTAATCATAAATTTTATTCTGGGCCGGGGATTTAGCTCAGCGGTTCGGTGGCCTGCCTCACAAGCACAAGGACCTGAGTTTGATCCCCAGTACCACAAAACAATAAATAAATAAATTTCACTCTATAAAAGACAATACTTGGCTGCATTCTTTCTAGTGTCACTAAAGGGGATTTTCTCTATATTAGAATGGTTCTGTATTCAGGTATTTGCTGGAATGTTTTTCACCCGTGATTTAATTAACTTTAACACTGGTCATTCTCAGGTGACTTTTAAAGATTTACTCATAGATTTCAATAGCAAATATAAGCCAGGCGTGGTGGTACACACCTGTAATCCCAGCATTTGAGAGGCTGAGGCAGGAGGATTGCTGGGAGTTTGAGACCAGCCTAGACTACATAGTGAGTTCCAGGTCAGACTCAACTGCATAATGAGACCCTGTCTCAAAAAA